GGATGGCTCCTGGTGGACTATCTGGTTTGTGAACATAGACTAAACCTGGTTTGGGTTGGAAGGGACCTTAAAGCTCATCCAGTTCCAACCCCTGCCATGGGCAGGGACACCTTCCACTAGAGCAGCTTGCTCCAAGCCCCTGTGTCCAACCTGGCCTTGAACACTGCCAGGGATGGGGCAGCCCCCCTTCTCTGAGGGCCAGCGCCTCAGCACCCTCATGGTATGAAAACATCCCTAAGGGTCTCCTGCTGAGATTCCTGCAGCCTTGCCCTGCACTGGGGGCTTTCTGTACCCACACAGTGTCCTTGGAGGACCCTGAGCAGCGAAACCTCAGCCTGCAGCTGGAGAAAGACTGCTCCGATGTGGGATGAGCAGATCCAACAAAACTTCTCAGGAATCCTCTGTGTAAAGGCAGCTCTAGTGCAGTATTTATAACCTTTAAAATTTTAATTTAAACATTGACAAAACCATGTTACTTTCTAATTAACTCCCATTTTCTCCCAGGGATTTTAATTTCAAAGTAATTTATCAGATTTAAGGATCCTCAAAACATTTTGCATGTTTTTCTTTCTAACCTGCCGTGCCCACTGATTTATTTTCCTTATTCATTAGCAGGAGGATTCATTAGTCATTAAGCGAGTGGGTGGGTTGGGGGGGGGGGGAGAGAAGCAAAATGGTTTAGTGCTTATGAAAACAAAAAATCAGAGCTGTAAGAAGCATATGTTGGGATCGTACCGCTGACACCTCTGTGTCTCAGCAAAGCAGCCAGTAATTGTACTGTAATGAAATGTTCTTGTTTGATAACCAGTTAATTAGAGAAGACAATTATTCCAAACTCTGCTGACGCCCACGAGAGGCTCTGTGTCGTGCAGGCACTGAATGACAGCCAGAGATGTTAGCCGTAAGCTCGGCATCCGGCCTTAGCAGAAACGCTGCTTCCCAAGCCTGGGAATGATGAAACTCTCCCCCAGAAAACCAAGGGGTCCACAGAGCCCAAGTGACAAGGTCTCTCCTGCAATCCCAGATGGAGTTTGGGGCGTTTTGCTTCAAAAAGGAGATAGACCATCAAGAGAGAAGAGATGAAAAGTGCAGTAAAGGTCTCCAGGGGGAGTTGAAGGACTCTGTTTAGATAGGAGAGAAGACCAGGAGGAGCCACAGCCTCCAACCATGATGCAGCAAAGGAGGTACTGAACGATCCTTTACATCTGCCTCAGGTAGGAAAAGAGGCAATGGGCTTAAACTGGAACAAGGGGAATGTTGGCTAAGCAAGAGAGAAGTGTTCCTAACAGTGAGGATAATTAAACACGGGAAGAGATTGCCTGGGGAGATGTGTAATCTCCACCACTGAGAGTTTAAGAACAGATTAGGCACACATCCACCAAGAATGGCTTAAGTAGAGATGATCCTGACTTCAGGCAGCAGTATGGTCTGGTTGACCTCTTAAGTCTCTCAGTGCCCTCCTTTCTATGATTCCATGACTAGTTTTCCCCTTTTCTCCCCCTCCCATGTATAAATTTGGATTTCATTCTGCTTGTAAATCTGGAGGGTTTTTCTTATAACTATGATACACTTTCCTGCAAGACAGCTCTTGGGATCACCTTAACTTAGGGCTTATTCATATGATGACTAAAAGTACTCCCTCCCTGCACAGTGGTGTCTGCCACAGCACCCTTCTCTTTGCAGACAGCCTCCACACAGCCATTGGAAGTGCACATAGCACACACAACCATGTCATCCTTATTCCTTCCCAGCTCTTCCTCACCTCCTTGCACCCTCCTCTGTAACCTTCCTCCTCCCCTCTTGAGAAGGCTTATTCTGTTCCTCCCTGCATTGAAACCAGCGAACCCAAGCTACGTTTAAATCACAGCACATCTCCTTCAGACTAATACCTACAGTCTTGATTGGTAAGTCCTGAGGTCAACAATCTTGGACATGGGAGGTACCTGTCAATGATGCCCGTCATGAGGTGGCTGGTTAAGTGGGGTTCCAATTCTCCCAGGCTCTCCCAGCTATGGCATGGGGGCTGTTGAGCATCTAACATCCCTGAGGACACCTACATAAAAGGCCCTGGCTATGGGAATTATCTGCAGGGTTTCAGGAGAGCTCCTCCCTTACCCTGGTGGAGACACAATGTTGTGAAGCAGTCATTTGGAGAATGAACAGATAAACCCATAATCAAGTAGCATTTGATTGAAGCATCCTGAAAGATTCCTCTGCCTTGACTTCATGGTGACACCTGGGTCTAAGTCATCCATCACTCAAGTGTGTTCCCAGGACAACTCACAGAAGACTCCAAATGAAACATAGGAGGAGGGTGACAAATCCAACCCCTAACCTCCAGTGAAAAGCACACAACCTTCATCTTCCACACTTGTGATCTTGATCTCCAGGAACAGAAGTCACACTCTTGGAGCTGCTTTTAAGAGCAGTTCTGACCCTTCACATCTTCCGTATCATTATCCTGGTCTCCACCAGACCTGTCTTGAAAAGTTGCTTGGGATTGGTGCATCTGCCATGGAGTCATTTAGCATTGCTGAACTGGTCCTGCTGAAGCAGGGCTATCATGAGCAAGGATTCATCTCTGGTACCTTTGTGCTCCCAGTGAGCCCCCAGCCTTGTCAACTCAACTGTAAATCTTGGTTTTGTAGGACTTCTCACTGAGGATGGGAAGCCCTGGCTTAGATCAAGCTTCACTCATCAAGATTGCTCAGGAATTTCTTGATGCTTCTGCTCTGAGTTTCTAGAATCTAGGGAAACACCAACCCATCTATTGCTGGACTTTCCTAATGAAAAGCAGGTTCCAGAGACACCTAAACTGCCAGCTTGTCAGTATTCCCTGTGCTCCATCACCACCAGGCTCCAAGCCAACATCCTCTTCCCCCAAAATACAGTGGACAACAGGAAGGTGCTCAGAGAGGGAAAGACAGAATGTGGCAGAGAAGAGCAAATCCCACTGGTGACTTCTTAATATGCTCCAGAGAGTTTCCAGGCTTCTCTCTCACATGAGATGCCCCTGAGAGAAGACTGGGTGTCCCCTGCTCCTGAGCAGAGATGGCCCTTGGCAGGGCTGGTGACCAGGCTGGGAGCACTATGTCCATGCCAGGTAAGAAGCCTGTCCAGAGAATTAGAATCACCGAAATCACAATCAACCAGGTTGGGAAAGCCCTTTAAGCTCATCCAGTCCAACCATTCCCCAGCACTGCAAGGCCACCACTAACCCATGGCACTGAGACCTCGTCTCCATGGTGTGTGAACACTTGCAGGGACGGTGACTGCAGCCCTGCCCTGGGCAGCCTGTTCCAATGCCTGAGCACCCTTAGGGAAGGAATTGTTCCTCAGCTCCATCTAAACCTGCCCTGGTGCAGCTTGAGGCTGCAATTAGCAGAGTTTGCTCCAATCTAGCGCTCAAATGCTTCTAATTTCTATCAGATCAGGCAGCTCTCACTGGGTAACACTGCAAAGGCTGGGCTGGATCTGCTCATGAGGAAAAATCACACTGAGGATTCTGTGAGCTTGGAGCAGGGACCTGGAGCTGCAGGCAGATCACTACAACAGGTCCCCCATTTGATGATAATGGCTCCATTAGCATCTCACTCTCCACCAAAGCCTAAGTTATCTCTACAGGAACAGCTGCTAAACTGTTTGCAAAGTTCAAAGAGTACATATTCATATTCACCCCCCTACCCCGAGTCACATTCTTCAGCTTCCCATGTAAGCTTCTTAGAAAGGGCCATGCCAGCTGTTGAAGAATGAAGATTACAACGTCCTGCTAATGCAGGGCTGGGGATATAAAGGTATTGTTATTTATTGCTGTTCCGCACGCGCGGCCACACTGGAAGGGGTTAAAATGGGGAAGAAAACGGCTCTTTGCAGAACAGGTGTCCTTGAGCAGTACCCAAGGACACAGAGATTGCTAATCCTGTATTCCACAGCATGATCAAATCACCAGGCAACAGATATAAATAAAAAAAAGGCAGGAAATAAGGAAATTTAGATACAAGTGTGTCAGAGGAAAAATGAAGATTCATTGTGAAGAGGCTAAGAAGAGAAGAAGAAGGAACAAAATGACAAAGGCACAAATGATAAACCAGTAAGAACAAAAGGAATGGGGGGGGGGGAGAGGCCTCTCTGAAATACATGTCTGTGACAGCAGCAGCCAAATCAAAGATGCTCCTCGATTATATGGTTTCTTGCATAATATGCATTCTGGTTCCCGCTCTCTGTTTGTCTTTGCACAGGGAAAAAACCTATCTGAAATGGGACGTGAGCAACCTTTATTTTGCTTGTTTCATCAGGAAGAGAAAGCAAATTTGCTTTGTGGGAGCAGCAGCACCTGCTCAATGGCAAATAAATAGCTACAGCTTTGATATTACAGCACATATAATCATTAGCAGCACAACAGCAGAGGATTAACCCTCCATGTGCTGGCCTGAGCTACCTGGCAAAGAGGTGGCATCTCCTTTCTGCCTGCAGAATGCTCTGTGTAGCATCTATGGGGATGGTGACGTGTGGTGGGGGATCGCAAGTCCACAGTGCCCTGCCTGAGGTTGGGTTTCTTGCTCTGAACCCTCTTCCTGGTTGCTCCCTGCCAAGCTTTTCTCCAAGGCTGGAACCAAAACACACCCAGGGCTGGGGAAACACTGTGCCCTTTGGAAGGTGGAAAATAAAGCTTATAAACCTCATCTGAAGCAGGAACTACAGTGATGTAAATGACTGCTTAGTAACTGCATGATGGGGCTGAGGTCTGCACATCAGCCCTCTGGAGATGTGATGCCCCAGCACTACCCTGAAGATCTTGGGGGTTTGGGGAGATCTAAGTATAGGACCATGGCACAGCCCCAAATCAGATCCTACAGCCTCAAACTCACCCACTTTTCTAATGCCATGTAGAAGGGAAGCTTTCTTTAATAAACTTGGTCAGAATTGATCAAGAACATCCATATTTGGCTCCTGGTTCTCTACTTCGCCATCTCTGTGCTGGGTTTTTCTTGGCTTGCCTTCTGTACTGCTTTCTGCAGTGAGGATGTGAAGATACTCAAAACCACTGTCGTCAATAGAGCCAGGAGCAGCACAGATGGTGAAATACTTCTCTTTTCCACCTTTCCAGCCCTCCCCAGAGCATGATGCTCCTATCCAAGGATGGGCCAAATCACAGCCTGGTGCAGCCATGTGGCAGTCTGGACCCCCAGGTCCCAGCAGGATTTTAGTAGTGATGTGTGTCTGTCCTGCTTGGTCACTGTCCCCTCCCAGGATGCATCATGTCCTGTAGTCCTTGGGAGAAGGGATCTGCAGGACAGCCTAGGCACGAGTTTTCATAGAACCCCAGCCTGGTTTGTGTTGAAGGGACCTTAAAGCTCCTCCAGTTCCAACCCCTGCCACGGGCAGGGACACCTTCCACTAGAGCAGCTTGCTCCAAGCCCCTGTGTCCAACCTGGCCTTGAACACTGCCAGGGATGGGGCAGCCACAGCTTCTCTGGGCACCCTGTGCCAGCGCCTCAGCACCCTCACAGGGAAGAGCTTCTGCCTAAGAGCTCATCTCAGTCTCCCCTCTGGCAGGTTAAAGCCATTCCCCTTGGCCTGTCCCTACAGGCCCTTGTCCAAAGCCCCTCTCCAGGTTTCCTGCAGCCCCTTTAGGCCCTGGAGCTGCTCTAAGGTCTCCCCTTCAGGAGCCTTCTCTTCTCCAGGCTGACCCAGCCCAGCTCTTTCAGCCTGGCTCCAGAGCAGAGCTGCCTTTAAGACATTTTGTTGCTACTTTTTTCTTTTTCCTTTTCCTTTTCTCCTTTCCATTGCACTCCCTTATGGCTCTAAGAAAACCTGACTGGGGATGCTGGCAGAGGAAAGCAAACGAGGACTAAATAAACTCTCTTCCAGCCAAACCCTTCAAGAGTGAACGTGCCACATTGCACAAAACAGCAATAGGGTCCTGAAGCCCAAGATAAATAGCTGCCTGCAGCCGGAGTCCTGGGCAGGGAGGTAGCTGTCGTGGGAGAGAAGTATAGAGCTGGAGACAAAGCCAGGAAGTTAATATTTAAGCATTCAGACAAGGAACAAATGACTTAATTAAATCAATTACAGAGGGAGAAATGGAGCCACTTAGAAAGCGTGTGTAAAGAGGCTGCTGCTGTCTCATAAAGGAGAAGAAAGGAGAGTTAGCAGGGAAGATAAACGGGCTGGTTTAATCCCTGCTGTTAATTAAGAGCATTTGCACTGCGCGGAGTCAGGTCACACCAGCTCTTCTATTATATAAACCACATTTGCAGCCGAGCTCAGTCCCCAGTCTACAGAGGTATTTGTAACCAGATGGAGCAAGGGAGAAGCAGACCGGGATGTTGGGAGGGATGAAAGCCGGAGAAAGAGGTGACGTGGAAGCTTTTGCGTGCTCCTGAACCTCCCACACCTTACACTAATAGCCCAGACCCAGCACCAGCCCTCCAGCTTCCCAAGCAAAGGAAGGGATCCTCCTCCCTTCTTCAGCCTGAGAAATCCCTGCATGACCCCCCAGTGATCCATCCAAAGGGGAGAAAATGGAGGATCAGGGGAGGTTGGAGCTAGATGATCATAAGGTCCTTTCCAACCCTAACCATTCCATGATTCTATGATCATGAAAACATCAAAGTAACACTTTGCACAGTATGGAGAACCCAAATGGCTCAGCAAATGGGCTTCCATCCCAGAAGATGCCTTGCCTTGATTCCTATTATGGGGCTTGGAGCAAGCTGCTCTAGTGGAAGGTGTCCCTGCCCCTGGCAGGGGGGTGGAACTGGATGAGCTTTAAGGTCCTTTCCAACCCAAACCATTCCATGATTCTATTCCATGATTGGTTCAGGGTGGAAATCAAGGCTATTCCCTAGCATGACTTCCATTTAAATGACTTTTCCTCCCTGCTTCTCCCTCTTTAAATGTGACTGCTTCAATCACTGCCCATGGACACCCAAGAGGAGGTGGAGCCAGCACTGGCTGCTAGCACTCACATTTTAAGGGGGAGCATCAGTCTGGGGTCAGACACACCACCTGCAGTGCCAGACCTCTCTCTGCATGATGAAGACATCCTTGCTATGGAAACTGTTCCTGGGGTTTTCTCAACAGGCCACATGCAATTACAGGCTTTTGTAACTCAGCATCAGCAAAACAGTTAAAGCAGGACCTAGAAGCCTCCATGTGAGGCAGATGGAAAGTGGTTGACAGCTTTGGGGCAGGAAGGTTTCCTCCGCAGGGTCACTTCAGGCATCTCCTCCCTAAGTTTTTAAGGCCTTAACGTTAGATTTGAGACCAATGCTGTAGAGAATTAGTTTTTAGCCAGTCTCCTTGTAAAAGAAGTAAATACAAACCCACCTCCTATCTAGAGCTGTAGAAAGCCCATGTCAGGGCAGGGCCACTGAGAGTTTGCGCAGTGCGATCTTCTCAAGAACAATCAGTTGTCATAAAAGCTCTTCTCTGTGTAAGAGCAGAGATTTCTCTCAAAAGGGGCACTCTCCTAACATGCTGGGGAGACTGATGCTCTGCACCAGGGAAAACCACACTGCAACAGTTGAAAGGAAAACAAGATGAACTCACTTGTTTTTGTTCTTCTCCCAAACTGTCCCACATCGACGCAACGATTTTTGATACATCTCCAAAGGTGGCATTGGGGTTTTGCCCTTTGATGGCTGCTTGTGTGTCTCTGAAAAACAGGGCATAGGCTGACACAGGCTTCTGGGGCTCGTTGGGGTCCTTCTTTTTCTTCTTCTTTTGGCTTTTGGGCTTTTTGCCCAGGTCCGTTGATGGTCTTTTCTCCCCAGTAACCTGCAAAACCAAGAGATGAACCTTAGCAGTCAGCTGGGAACAGTCAGGTGTGTGTCCCTGATACAGCTTCTTCGCAAAGGGGACAAGAAAGAGCATGGGCAGAGAAAGGCTCCCAGTGTAGTGAGGAGGGAAGCAGCCCTGGGTGTCTCCTTGGCCCCCCAGAGCCCGTAGGATCATTACACAAACTGCTGCTGGGTCCTTGAGCCTGGCTGGGTGCCTTTCACAGCCCCGTTCACAGCCTGGGCTCACCCCTTCTGCTCCAGTGGTCCTTGCTCCAAAGCTGGGGATTTCCACATTCATCTTCAGTCACCCCCTTCACCCTCCTCCTCCCTGGCAGCACAAGCTCACTCACTCCTTGATCCTCCTCAGGGACCTCTCTAAACACTTCTCTTCCCAGCCAGACCCCTTAAGCAGCCCATGTGTTTTTCCAGAATTGGTTTCTGATTTCCAGCCCAATAATCCCCCTTTGCAAGTTGCTTCTGGCTACCCCCACCTTTGCATGTGCCAGTGCCTCAGCATCCCCTCTCCCTAGGCAGGAGGGTCGTAAGCACCAGCACTACATTAGCCATCACACTGGGGCCATCAGAAATCCGTTTCACCATGCTAACAGGTATGTACCCCTATTTTACTCTTATGTATTAGACACTTTGCATGCACTGCTCACACCTTACAACCAGCCTGGACGCAGGCTTGGTCTGGCTGTATCCATGCTCGGTACCCTGTGGGCGGTTGAACCAACGACAGAAGGACACAGGCAACAGCAGTTGGACTTTGTGGCTGCTCAGCATGAGGCCAAGCTGGGAGGTAGAACAGCAATGCTGGAAACAGGGATGCTTCCAATGAAGGTAGCACTGAAAGCAGATCCTACAGCTGAGCCTCTTCTAGGTTGCCCTGGGCAGTGTGTTGAATGTATGGGACCGCAGATGCCTCTGTGTGATGGTGTGCAAGGGAAAAGACCCCTGGAAAGCACTTGGACATACATCAAAGCTCTCAACACATTGACTGCGGTCAGTGAAAGCTCACACTACAGGGAAGCACCATTATCCTTATTTTATAGCGGAGGAAAAAGTCAATGCACCAGAGGTTAAACATGGCTGAGAATAAAACCATTTTCTCCCAGTTGCTTCTGCCTAGATCTCTGCATCCTCGAGGGCAAACGGGGCTCCAGCACCTCTGCCTGCAGCGCCACCACACTCCAGCATCAAGTGCTCAGCTACCACCCGCAGTGCCTCTCCTACCAGGGGCACAGGCTAATGGTATTACTTAAGAAGTCACCTAGTCTGTCACTTTGAGGTCTAAACCAAATTAAAACAAATCAATTGACACAGATCAAACCACCAAACCAGTGTAAAACCTGGGCCTCCCAGCGAGTGCTGGGAGAAAGAGGCCTTTTCTCCTGATGGGTTTGATTGTGTGCTTGGAAGCACTGGGATTTAAGAGGCTTCCCTTTAGCTGGTACAGGCCAGGCATGGGCAGTAAAGGGCAGCAGTACTCCTGCTCTCCACTCAGCAGCTCTTGACTGGTCATTAAGTTGAGTATCAGCGCCGTGACATTTGTCAAACAGACAGTGACCATTAGTGAATGAGCAGAGAGACACAAAAAATTGCATTTAATTTCAAATTGCCCAATTGGGCTTGAATGGGAGGCTTGGGGTTGAAAGGGCAGCTTATTAGGATCAAAAACCTGCATGACAGGGCTTTTGTCCATTAGCAAGCGAGATGCTATTTTAACTAACTGTAGTGCTTTGATTCACTGAAGAGCCATGGGATGACTTGCTCTCCTCGAGCCATTCACCAAGTGATGGGGTGGAAACAGACACAGTGCAACCACAGCCACAGAGATGTCCTGCTTAGGCAGCAACAAAGAGCAAATGTCTGTATGGAAAACATATGCTGCCTGCAAGGCTGCCTTTAGCTGCCAGCTCCCAAGAGGGAGCAGAGCAAATCAGGGCTTTGCCTGGTTCTCCTGGGGTTTGCTGTGTGATGCAGCACAGGTTGAGACAACCGCTCAGCCCTGACCTGCAGAAGATATTTCAACAACCTCAGCCATGTTCATGGCTAAAGGCAAGACCCAGCAAGCCCTCACCTTGCTGCCCCAAAGCAACTGCATCCCCCAAGGGGTGAGCCATGATCAAAGCAACCGTGAAGGCTCATGCAGTGGGAAAAGGTGTGTGGCCACCAGCCCCTGCATGGATCTGCTCTCAAGAGGCAGCAGAAGGGAAGTGTAACACCAGATGTGGACTGGGGCAGTTCACTGGTGAGAGATGTGATCCCATAAACTGGTAGATGTTGAACATGTGAAGAGCAGGAACCCCATGGATGTTGTGATTTTAGTAATTATGGAGAAACATCAGTACTTCAGCTGGAAGCTGGGCTGTAACTACCTCTCCCTTCTATGCACGTGTACACACTCTGAAGCAATGAAGCAGGTAAATGCATCAGTGTGGCAGTCAGACCTCCTAAAATCACAAGCTTCCTGGTTCAGAGGACCTGCTGAACCTGAACTACCTGCTGGCATCGGACTCATTTCTTCGATGTGTGACCTTCTTGGTCATAAGATTAATTTCTGCTTATTAGATGTTGCTTTGATGACTTGTTGCAGAAAGGCCCTGAACAGCCACATGAGATATGACAATTGGGTGAATACAGCAGCTGTGTTGATAGAGAAAGCAAACAGAAACCTGTAGGCCACAATATGGTTTTGCTTTCTTTGCACTTATGGTCTCCTTCCTTCATCAAATCCATCACTCCTGTTTCACCCTTCTTGCTGGACATAAAAATGAGGGGAGCATGCCTTTAGGATTAGGAAGAATTCTTGTCTCTGCAAGTTGTCATAATTTGGACATCTCCAAATTCTTCCTACCCCCACAGCCACCACTGGCTCAACAGGAACAGAAGATCCAACCCCAAAGCCATGTCCTTCTCCATGACTCCTACATCTCTGGGTGGCCGGGATGAAAGCTGGGTGATGCTGAAGAGGCAGAGGACCTCATGTGTAACCAAGCTGAAACTCATTTGCTGCTGACATGACAGATTCCAGCTCCCAGGTACCTGCTGGAGCTGTGCAATGTGACCCTGGGAGGTGGCAGACCATGGGGTCCAGCAGCACAACTCATTCCGTAGTCTCCCCCAGATGTGGGATCGCAGAGTCTGAGAAACTGCGTCTGGTTTCAATCACCTGTATCCCTTCTTTGTGCACTTTTAGTCCACTGAAGCTGCTTTGCATCCGCGTGTGCACTCTGCTTTGTAATACCCTGATCTGATGTGAAAGCTGCCAACGGATGAAAAGATGCAGGAGTGATGGGAATACATTTGCCTGGATTTCCATTGGAAGGGAAAAGGTTTTGCTCAGTCCTAGTGCTTTTCCAGTTCTCCAGGCTCCTCACTGTTTGCTGCTGGGGTTATACATTCAAATCCTGTCACAACCATCTTTCTCTGCAGGACAAGGTTACAATACCAGTTCTGGTGCTGTCCTTGGATCAGCACCTTCCAGGAGAAGGTTTTCCATGGGACGCTTTAATCAAAGTCCCCCAGGGAGTCCAGCGATTGACCTCAGTAAATAACAGACTCATGGCACACAGCAAGGGCTGTTTGTTTTGCTGGTGCATTTTGAGAAAGATGGGCAACAACCAAGATGTCCCCAAAACCATGGGAAAAACTTGGGCTTCTTGCTGCCATGTTCAGCAGCAGATGTGTTGGCTCTAGAGGCAGACTCTGTGCCACTAAGACATTGCTGACCACCTAAAAGGCAGAAGACTCTTCCTCTTTTAACTTCTAGGGGTTTTCCTTAACAAGCCATGTCTGGTGAGCTCAGTTCAACCCACCCTCTGTTATTTTCCATCCCTGTTTAAGCCTCCTCAACCTGCCACCAGCAATCTAATTTTGCAGCCAAGCATTTGCAGAATCTTAGCCCTGAACCTGCTTTGCTCAACAAAACTCTCACTGGAGGAAACTGCAGCTTGATGGACCTGGTAAGCATGGAGAAAAAAGCCCTACTCTCATTGCCAAACTTGCTGCATGCACAAACCAGTCATGTGTTAGATTAGATTCGATATTTGATATTAAATTAGATCTTAGGCAGAAGCTCTTCCCTGTGAGGGTGCTGAGGCGCTGGCACAAGGTGCCCAGAGAAGCTGTGGCTGCCCCATCCCTGGCAGTGCTCAAGGCCAGGTTGGACACAGGGGCTTGGAGCAAGCTGCTCCAGTGGAAGGTGTCCCTGCCTGTGGCGGGTTGGAACTGGATGAGTTTCAACACAACACAAACCCGTCTGTGATTCTACGTGTGCTAGCCTGCCATGCTGTACCTCACCCGAGGTTGGAAATAATCCCCCAATCCTTGTGAAAGTCTCCCACTAGATATATATATTTAAAAAGAAAACACCAAAAGTCTGTGTTCTTATTTAGCTCAATTTATCCCTCACTGAAAAACATCATCTGCTGTTTTCTCACTGTCTGTTAAAACAGGCATGACTGCACGTACCTTATAATGTGACTCTGTCTCCTCTTCCTGAGTAGAACTGGAGGGAGATGGTGTAGCAGACTTACTTCCCGGGGGTGATGGGGACCCGTGGGTTACCCCGCTCCGTATCCCCATCTGAGAAATGAGCTGGGACTGGCTGAGAGCGCTCATGGGGCCAGCCAACATCCCAGGCCGATTGATCAGGGGCACTTGACGGTTGGACTCATAGGATGTGGCGTCTGAGTGGACCATCTCCTGGATCTGAGTTAGGAGAATATCACTTTGTCATTGAAAAATGTATTTATTTGTTTATTATACTGACAAATCACTTTAAGACAAACTCTCATTGACTGATTAAAAATCATTCCGCACAGCTGGTAAAATCTTCCTTGTGCCTCCTTCCAAATAAGCCAAGAGCAAGCACTGAGTACCGTGTGCCCAGGGCTCTGCTCCTGTCATCACCCTGCCCACAAGGACTACAAGAGAGGTGATCAATTGTCTTTGTACACAGGTCTGGGTATCCAGCCCTGGTACGTCAGCAATGCAGTGTTAGAGGCCATGGAGCCAAACACGCTCTTTCTGAGCAGCACTTTGGTTGACATTTAGTAACTACATAAGTGGAAAAATAGCTGCTTGCCTGAGCTTATGAAGGTATCACAACCTTCCTGCATCCATTGTACGGCTGTCAAGTTGCCAGTGCTGCTGGGGTTACACCCAGGAGCAGGAAGCCCCACAACATGCCCTGAGATGCACTGCAATGCTTGGGGCAAGCCCTGATGGTGGCCACCACCCCATTAAAGTTCCTCCTGGGAAGGGGGCCTATAGGAATGCTGGGGAGGGACTCTTCATTAGGGACTGTAGTGATAAGACAAGGGTAAGGGGTTAAAACTTAAACAGGGGAAGTTTAGATTGGATATAAGGAGGAAATTCTTTCCTGTTAGGGTGGAAAGGCACTGGAATGGGTTGCCCAGGGAGGTTGTGAATGCTCCATCCCTGGCAGTGTTCAAGACCAGGTTGGACAAGGCCTTGGGTGACATGGTTTAGTGGGAGGTGTCCCTGCCCATGGCAGGGGGGTTGGAACTGGATGATGTTAAGGTCCTTTCCAACCCTAACTATTCTATGATTCTATGACTTTTCCAATTTCAAATATTGACATCAGTTCCAACCCCATTTGAAATGAATGGAGCAGAAGTCCAGACAATGGCCCTAAAATTATGTTTGTGTGTGTACACATGTAGGTAAGAGAGATAAAATAGGAGGCCAAGTGATAGAGTTGTCCCCAGAAATGAAGAGTTTCCTAATACATGTTTATTTATCCTCATAATATGAGAGTGAGGGGATGGCTGATGGGACTGAAAGATGACTAATCACACACAGAGCTGCTGGGACCCCTGGGCATGGCACAGGCCACCAACACCCGTGCTGCCTCATGAGGCTGCTGATCCCAACACTCTGGAAAAATAAAAACCAAAATGAAATTTATATATATATGTGGCTAATAAGAAATGTCAAATCATAGAGTCATAGAATGGTTTGGAAGGGACCTTAAAGCTCATCCAGCTCCAACCCCCTGCCACAGACAGGGACACCTTCCGCTAGAGCAGCTTGCTCCAAGGCCCTTCTGATGCATCCCTGCTCAGCCAGGTTTAATGCTAACAGAATTAGTGTTAACATGAGTTTAAAGACCCAGGCTTTCTTTATTAGCAATCTTCATTTCCAATCAGCCCACTGAACTGTGATTTCTCCTTACCAGGGGAGGCTTGCCAACTCCATTAGCAGCATACACAGAAAGAAAGCCAGGGAAGACCTGCAAGGGCTTGGAAGGGTTCAGAAGAAGTAAGTCCAATGCAAAACCAGATTTAGTGCTGCAGGTCAGGAATCAAGAGCTTTACACAACACCCAAAAGCATGTTCTGCTCTCCTTCAGCTTCTCCATCATTGCAGTGTGAGTCAGGGGAACAGATTTTCCTAGATCTGCCTCTTTTCTGTATTAATTATGCACTACAGGAATTTAACTTGCAGGAAGAATCCCAGACTGGTTTATGTTGGAAGGGACCTTAAAGCTCATCCCCACAGGCAGGGACACCTTCCACTAGAGCAGCTTGCTGCAAGCCCCTGTGTCCAACCTGCCCTTGAACACTGCCAGGGATGGGGCAGCCACAGCTTCTCTGGGCAACCCTGTGCCAGCGCCTCAGCACCCTCACAGGGAAGAATTTCTTCCTTATATCTAACCGTACTCTCCCCTGTTCCAGTTCGAACCCATCACCCCTTGTCTTATCACTACAGTCCCTGATGAGGTGTCCCTCTCCAGCATCCTTTTCGGCCCTTTCAGACACTGAAAGCTGCTCTGAGGTCTTGCACTTCAACAGCACACTGAGTCTGACCAAGGCTGACTTGGGGCCACGCTGAATTACTGTCCTTGGCCTTGGTGTTTGCAAGGAAACACCAGCTCACAGAGCCGTCAGGGCTGATTTTGCTCCGTTGTGGCACTGAGGAAACTCGCTGCTGCATGAATTATAACAAGTTTTATGTGCCCTGCTAACCTGCCTTATTGCAGAGGTCTGGCCTCTTCTTGCCACGTGCTGCTGGCTGGGAAACCCTGGCCAAAAAGACCTCGAGGATGTGCGTGCTGCAGCCAAGCAAGATGGGGATGGACAACAGGCTCGGGCAGTACAGGATGCATCAGAGAGGCAATGTTTGCAATAGCAATTGGATTTGCAGATATCATGGGAATGGCTAAGGGTGAGACGGGCAGAGATGGGCACCTGGGTCTGCACCCACCTGCCATGCAAGCACCAAGCTCCTTCCCAAATTCCAGTGAAAAAGGTGATTTTTGTCTTGGATTTTGTCAGTTTAACCCAGACCTTTCACTTTAGAGAAGATCTGGCAGCTGCTAAGGCAAAGAATAATTTATTGCCCTTATTTTAAATGAAGAAAAAGTTTAGAAGAATGGGTATTTTAGAGACAGGGAAGGCTTGAAACGTGCCTTAAAAATTGCAGAATTTAAAGTAGCTCGTTCCCATTTGCAGTCTCTTGGGTAAACACTGGATTAAGAGAATTTTTTGGGGGAAACTTTTATTATGTGGCCAATAGACCGCAACGGCTCCGTTTATCCATTAAATATATAATCATACACCTTTTCCTTTACAGTGCATGTTCTTTATGCATCAGAGCAGCCCAAGTCCAGGAGTGCAATTATGGGTATGGGACACACGCTGCAAATGTTGCTGAATATTCCTGTGTAGGAAAAAACAGAAACCTGAGCTCTGGCTTGGAGAATCCACACAGAAGCCTCCAGCTGATAGCAACCCGAGCACAGCCCTCTCTTGAAAAGCAGAGACCTTTCTCCTGGGACATCTTAGCCCAGAGGCCTCCTCTCAAGCAGCTGCCTATTTCTTGACACCATTAAAACGTGGTGGGTTTACTTACAACCTTTGCTGAGCTTTGCTGGTTCTGACACCCTCTCTCGTTCTTCCACATCTCCACCTCTTCTCCTCATGGGCAGGAGGTTTTGCAGAAGAACAAGCACGATTGTGACTACGCTCCTTGCATCCAACCCTGCTAACCACAGTGTGGGGAGGCAGGACCAGGAGGTGTCCTCAGGATGAAAGAGCAGTGGTGGAAAAGCCATTTGTGTGCTCCACTTGTAAGATGTTTGGGGTGGAAGTGAAGGCAAGGAACTTGTGCACAGCTCCAGTGCTGCTGCCATGGGCTTTAGGATGCTGCTGGCCTTTGCTCAAGTGGGGGAAAGGGTTTATCTTGATTCCTGCTGCAAGACCCTGAAGGCACTGAGCTATATCAGTCGTGCACCCAAAGTACATCCCCTCAAGAAAGACCTGAGGAAAGAGAGACTCAGGAGCAGGACTCAGAGATACTCCCCTGTAGCAAATGGCCCTAATTCGGAGAGCAAATAATAGAACCATAACATCAGAGTGGTTTGTGTTGGAAGGGACCTTAAAGCTCATCCAGCTCCAACCTCTGCCACGGGCAGGGACACCTTCCACTAGAGCAGCTTGCTCCAAGCCCCTGTGTCCAACCTGCCCTTGAACACTGCCAGGGATGGGGCAGCCACAGCTTCTCTGGGCACCCTGTGCCAGCGCCTCGGCATAATGAATGAAATCATGATGAAGGCAGACAAAAAAGAACAAGGTAAGAAAAGCAGCATTCCCCATAAAAGAGGAAACAACCTCTTCAACCACAGCACAAGGTCCTGTGGGATGCATCTAGCTCACAAGGGCTGCACTCGCTCCTTTCCCCTCCACAAAGCACTCAGCATCCCTGTAAAGCCCATGGAAGCACACACGTAATTAAATAACCACCCTGCAAATGTGATTAGCTCCATTACCAGGACCGCTGGCTCCGAGAGCCAGGTCAGATCCTGTCTCCATCCCAGGCATTCAGCACAACAAACTCACCCCAAGCTGCTACAAAGGCTCGGGACGTGTTTGCAGCCTCTTCTGAAAAGATGTTTTGCATCTCAGAGGAAACATGAGTGAAATGTGATGTAGTCACAGCTAAAGTAATTAAGTGCATCTTACTTAGCAGATTCCCAAAGGCTGTGCTAGCTCAAAGACAGCTTTTTTTCTTCTCCCCACAATATTTCAATTTTTTTTTAATGAGTATGCATATCAGGCCTATAAATGCTGGAGCTAATCCTAAGAAAGACAGAAAAATAGGCTGACAAACAGCACATGCTGGCCAAGACCAGCGGGAGTGGGCAGATGGCACAGACCCAGGCAGGGGCAGAACCCCACCGGCTGGGAGACCAGACATGGAGACCACCAGGCTTCCTGCCAGGCTTCCCTGTGAAGGACTTGGGGGTGTTGGCTGAGGAGAAGCTCCCCATGACCAGGCTTCAGTGTGTGCTTGAGCCCAGAACCCCCTGTGTGCTGAGCTGCACCCCAGAGCGTGAGCAGCAGCTCAGGGAGGGGATCCTGCCCCTCTGCTGTGCTCTGGGGAGAGCCCCCCTGCAGCCCTGATCCAGCTCTGGGGCAGCAGCACAAGAGGGATGTGGAGCTGCTGGAGTGAGGCCAGAGGAGGCCATGGAGATGCTGCGAGGGCTGGAGCAGCTCTGCTCTGGAGCCAGGCTGAGAGAGCTGGGCTGGGGCAGCCTGGAGAAGAGAAGGCTCCTGAAGGGGAGACCTGAGAGCAGCTCCAGTGCCTGAAGGGGCTGCAGGAAAGCTGGAGAGGGGCCTGGGACAAGGGCCTGTAGGGACAGGCCAAGGGGAATGGCTTTAACCTGCCAGAGGGGAGACTGAGATG